AAAAAAAAAAAAAAAAATTCTTAAGGTCAAAAGAAGAAAGAGAAAATAAAGATGTCACTACTAAACAAAGTAATTGAAAACTACCAAAATGACCATCTAAAACAGTGGTTCTCAACCTTCCTAATTATTTTCATTGGACGGCACCTGTGGCTCAAAAGGATAGGGCACAGGCCCCATATGCCATAGATGGTGGGTTGAAACCCAGCCCAGGCTAAAAATAAAAAAAATTATTTTCATTGCTCATTAGCTAAGTAGCAATGAAAAGAATTTTATGGTTGGGGGTCACCACAACAGGAGGAACTGTATTAATGGGTCACAGCACTAGGAAGGTTGAGAACCACTGATCTAAAAGAACATATCAAATTATACCTAATATATTTTTTAAAAGTTTAAAAGTTATAAATCATAAATGCAAATTATATACGTATACATACTTCTATATATGTATATATAACAATCCTTTAAACATGGAGGAATAGATATATATTTATATATACATACATACATATACCTACAGAGAACATATATACTGTGAGTGTGTGTGTGTGTGTGTGTGTATAAAGATAGAGACATACACACATAGGACACTGGTAAGAATGGTTGTCTCACATAGCGAAAGCCATCTTGAAAAAATGAAAAAAATTAGCTGGATATGGTGGTATGTGCCTATAGTGCCAGCTACTCTATAGGCTGAGGCAGGAGGAGCTCTTGAGCCCAGAAATAAGGCAGCAGTGACCTATAACAATGCCACTGCACTCCAGCCTGGGCAACAGAGAAAGACCACATTAAAAAAAAAAATTGTTAGGGGCGGTGCCTGTGGCTCAAAGGAGTAGGGCGCTGGCCCCATATGCCAGAGGTGGCAGGTTCAAACCCAGCCCCTGCCAAAAACTGCAAAAAAACAAAAAAATTGTCTCTAGGTATAGGGGTACAAAGGATATAAAATGAAAAGGCAGATAAACAGAATGATTAAATAATCAAATCTAACATCACCAAAACTGCAATGAGCTGACATTAGGCACTCTGGAAGGGACACACTGACAAGGATATACCATCACCTCTAACGTATTCCTGACAAAAATATTTAAGCTAAAGTTAATCATGAGCAAACAATCAGACTGATTCAAACTGAGAGACATTTTGCAAAACACCTGGACTGGATTCTTTTCAAATGTCACTGTTGGGTGGCGCCTGTGGCTCAGTGAGTAGGGCACCAGCCCCATATACCAAAGATGGCGGGTTTGAACGGGCCCACAGCCAAACTGCAACAAAAAAATAGCCAAGCATTGTGGTGGGCACCTGTAGTCCCAGCTACTAAAGAGGCTGAGGCAAGAGAATCACTTAAGCCCAAGAGCTGGAGGTTGCTGTGAGCTATGACGCCACAGTACTCTACTAAGGGTGACAAAGTGAGACTCTGTTTCTAAAAAAAAAATTAATTAAAAAAATAAAGTGTTATTGTTATGAAAGAACCAAAGGCAAAGAACCAGATTAAAGAAAACCAAAGAGAGATTACTAAATAATGCTATTTACATTTCTTGATGAAATCCTGAAAAAAATAAAACACCTATTATAGATTAGTTATCAGGATAAATGGAAAGACTGAATATAGCTCGGCGCCTATGGTTCAAGTGGCTAAGGCGCCAGCCACATACACCTAAGGTGGCAGGTTCGAATCCAGCCTGGGCCCGCCAAACAACAATGATGGCTGCAACCAAAAAATAGCCAGGCGTTGTGGCAGGCGCCTGTGGTCTCAGCTACTTGGGAGGCGGAGGCAGGACACTGGCTTGAGCCCAGGAGTTAGAGGTTGCTGTGAACTGTGATGCCACAGTACTCTACCCAGGAGGACAGCTTGAGGCTCTGTCTCAAAAAAAAAAAAGGAAGAAAGACTGAATATAAACTGCATATTAGATAACTATTATGAACTTTAAATTTCCTAAATATTTGTAGTGTAATAGAGGAGAAAGTCCTTGTTCTAGCAGATATTTGCTGAATTACTAGTGATGAAATGTCATGTCAACAGCTAACTCTCAAAAGCTGCCTGAAAATAAATACCATATAAATTAGAGAGAAAACTCAAGAGAAAAAGTGAGCACACATAAAAAAGACAAAATGGTGCATTTAGGTGAAGGAAGAGTTTATAAATAGTCAATGTATTATTTTTATAACTTTCCTGTACATTTGAAAATTTTCAAAATAAACCAGATGAGGAGGAAAAAATGAATATAGTACAAAATATATACAGTATATGTAAGTCTCTACACTGCAAGTGTAAGCCTTTTGTAGACTGTATATCCTCACTACAGCTTTGTAATGTATTAATGAAAAAAATAAACATGTAAACAATACCCAACAAGACAAAATAAAATGTCTTGTAAAGGGTGAATGAGATGAATTATTATCGTTGTTACACAACTTACAGCATATATAAATTACCAAACAATTAGGATACAGTGCAAATTTAACATTATAACTACTCCTAACATAATTTAATCTTTTCACAGCAAAGAAGGTCAGAATTTTTCTACTCCTCAGGGTCACATCCATAACTGACAATTATATCTGTACAGTTGCAACTTAGCTGTTTGCAGTATGATTGTCAATAATTCACAAACCCAACCACAGGTAAATGTTTTTACCTACTACGTTTTCCAGAAGGACCACTTCACTTCCCAACTCTAGTTAACAGCTTTTCATTACACTAAAACGTTGCTTCGAAGTTTCTGTAAAAATAATTCCTATAAAAATACTACTGCTGACCCAAACAAAAAAATAAAATCCACCTTTACTCTTAAACGCACACAAAACTAATAACATTAAAAGGCAGGGAACCACGCTGTAAGAGGTCATTACACTACTGCCAAATGTTCAAGAATGTCAGGTTCAATCCACCATTTAAGAATAAAAAATCACACTCAACTCCCAGAAATACAACATAACAACCACGTACCAAAACAGGGCTGAACGGCACTAGGGGAGTTGGGTCAGCACTCTGAGACCCCAAAGTTCGCTGACCAGCCCCAAACTCTTCGAGCTCCCCACCGGGGGCGCTGGATTCTTACAGCCGAAGAGGATTGGGGACCCCACACGGCGCTTCTCCACCACCAGCCCAGCGGCCGCAGAAGGGCAACGAGGCCCTCAGTCCCTCAGCCCCAGAGCCGCCTCAGGATCCCCCAACCCTCCAGCCCCCGCCACTCCCTCTTCTCGTCCCCGCCCCTCCCTGGCCCACTCACTCTTCATCTTGGATGCGGAAGCCTGCAACAACCTCTTGCGGACACTGGACAGAAAAGAAAGAGGCAGGAAGGGCGGTCCCCTGCTTTCCTTGAGGCGGTGTCCTGCACTAGGACCTCCGCGGTGGTCCCTCCATGGAAAGCGTTAGGATCCGCCCGCCATGTTGTGTCTCTGTCACCCTAGCAACTGTCAGGCCCGGAACGTCCCGGGGCGGTCTTCGGCGCATGCGCATAAGTAGCCCCGCCCACATACGCATGCGCGCTGCTGACTGGCTCGTAGGCTGGGTTGCTAAGCAACCTCTCTTTAACTTTTTT